CAGGCGGCCCACCTCCTCTGCCCTGCGCGGGGAGCTGCACGCAGAGGACAGACAGGAAGCTCCTGGGGGACTCCAGAGATCACGGGCCTGCTCCCCAACCCCAGCTTGTGCCTGCAGAAGTGGAAATCTGCTGTTATCTTCCATTTCCGGGTTACCCAGTCTCTTCTCAGAGTTACGTTTTGTTCTGGGTTTCCTCTGTATGATGCAGAGCACCTCTCCTCCCACCCCTCCCACTTGTAGGTTTGGGATCATTTGCTTCATTATCACAGACTAGATCGACACAGGCAGAGCAAGCAGGGGTACTGCCAGCCCCTGCTGAGGCGCCCCAGTACCTGAAGGCAGGCTTGGCACCCCTGAACCTTCCCAAGGCACTTAGGTGGGATAGGAACAGCCCTCCCTTTAGACTCAAGAGATGTGGTTTCAGTGTCATTTCAATCACTGATTGATTGTGCATTTCTTAGCTTCTCTGGGATGATTTTTTCTTCTTTTTTATAAAGGGCTTTACAATCACAAAGTGCTCTACGACATAAAGAAAGCCCATTCAATGCGGAAGGCAGGATTCTTCACCTTGTCCAGCCCCAGTTTCTCATGGGCACATTCTTCTACCAGGGAGCTCTGTCTGGAAAATCTGAACATTCCCCGTCGCTGCCGACAGCCTCTCACAGGACGCAGGGCCGTCACCTTTGACCGGGGCTGGCATTCGGCCCACGTGCCCCAGCGCAGCATGTTCGTTGTTAAAATATTGAACTGCTTCTGCTGCTAACTAGTCTCTGCCTGGAGTGCCCCCTCTCACCGGGGTTCATCACCTAAAAAAATAACTCTTGCCCGGCCACGGGGCCTCCGGGGCCGTTATTGGTGGGTGTGCTGCAGCACAAAAATCCACTCCCTTCTATTTTCAATGGCGCACCTGCCTTTCGTTTATTACAGATGTAAAATATGTCACTACGAAGCAATGGATCGAAGTTTTTAAGGAACGGAATTAAATATGCAAATAGAAAAACAATATTACCTATCAATTAGCCATCTTATTCCAAGGCCTGGTTCCAAGTGACTTCTGGCTTATGCCAAAAACCAAATCCACTCTCAAAAATAAAACTTTGCCAACTTTAAGGGTTTGTCAAAAAAATATGTACGACCTAAGTAACAGTGTCCAAAACTATTGCAGGCAAAGATAGCCCCATTGGAGTAACTATATAGCCTTGTAAGGTGAAGAGCTTTTCCCCATGTGCGTGACAGTTCAGGAAAATTTTAATACTAGTAGATATCACATGATGTTAAGGAACTGTTAGTTTTTAGATATATAATGATACTAAGTCTTTTAAAGGAATCTATTTTAGAAATACATACATAGGGTGGAAGGGACTTATGTCAAAATAAAGAGAAAAAGACAGGGGAGTGGGTGTCGGTGGGAGCTAGCCATGTGTATGTGAACTTTTACATTATTTTCTCCACTGTTGTGTGTATGTATGTGTATTCGAAATTCTTCAAAATAAGAAGTTAAACAAAACTTTGTTCAACCAGTCTATACCTCAGCCACCCCTGGTAGATGGGAGAAATAACAGTTGGAAGCACCCTGATTAGGTGGAGAGACCCGGAAGGAGGCACAGTCCGACCGCTAACCATGTTGCTGTGGACAATCCTTTGTTTTGTCCTGTGCCCAGTTTCCCGTCCATGAAATGCATATAATCCTAGCCTTACACACACGCATGCACGCGCACGCACACACTCCCAATCAGGCCAGGAGGAGTTTAAACAGGATAATATTTGTATAACAGTTTGAGCTCCTTGAGATAAAGGAGCAACATAAATTCATCATTATAGAAACTCAGCACCCAGAGGTGTTGTGTGAAGTGTAGTTTAGATGATTCAGGCTTCCCAGAATTGCCACAGATTTTTCAGAAACTACCTCATGCTTAGTTCTCTCAGCCAAATGAAAGAAGGAGCAGAAAGAAAGCACCCTGCTTCTACACAGGAGGCTTTTAGCAGCTCTGTTTACTCCTCCAACACAAAGCCCTTGTTTATGTGTGACAGATGGTAGTACATGTTTCTCTCCTCCCTCTCTCTCTTTTCTTTCTCTCTCTTTCTCTCCTCCCTCACTTCATTTGTTCCCTTCTGTTTCTTTGTCCCTCTCCATTTTTCTTTTCTCCAATGTTTCTCTGCTCCCCACCACTTTTCCTGAACTGACTCAAGGGCTGCAAGAGGAATAAAGGCAGATAGAAAGCCAAGACCTAGAAGAATGCCGACTATTCCATCAGGCTACATGCACACACAGCCACTTCTTGGTTCACAGCACTCATATTTGAAATGTGTTTTTGAAGACAGAGTGACACACCTTTGAAACTGTAGGGGGCTCAGAGCAAACAGTAAAAGGCCCATAAATATTTATTTATGTGGCAGGTTTCCATGGGTTGCTTTCCCAAAGTAACCATAGTCAACACATTCTCACATATGCATGTTCACACACGCGTGCGCGCGCGCGCGCACGCACACACACACGCGCGCGCGCGCATTCATTCTGGGTTCAGCCACTCCCAAAGAATAAATGTAGACCAAACCTCTTACCGAATATTTACTGCAATAAGCATAGTCTATCAACCAGCCATGGGAGGGGAGGTGTGAAGGACTAGACATGCAAGAGCCTTTTCCAGGTCCATATCGAATGCTGATCCTACCCCTCTCAGACCGAGGGGCATGATTTAGTCTTTCCCAGCTTCCATGTCTTCTGTAAAATGAAGGTATTCAAATAATGGATGATCTACAGACTCTGTATGTCTATGATTTCATGAGCAATTATACCAAGACTTTTAGAGAATTTCCATAAATATCAATCTACCTGCACCCTAATACCTGTGGAAGGTAGGGGATGATCTATTGGAATAGATGTCAAACCAGTGCTTGAATGAGGTGAGCAGTGGCAGGGAAGTTAGGGAAATGGCATCCCATAAAATGGCATTCAGTTCAGTAGGGAGATAAATAAGGTCAGAGAAGGGTATCAGAGAGGAAAGAACTGATATAATAGATAGCAAGCAGCAGTAGGAGGCAAGATTTGGCACCTGCCTGGATGTCTGGGAAAAAATAGCGGGGGGAAAAAAAAGCAAACTTGAGCAAAAGGAGGAGTGTGCCTGTTGATTCCACTTAGTCTCCTGAAATGTATTCTCAGGTCTCAGAGGCGGTCTCCAAGAAACAGCGCTGGCCTCTTTAGAAGAGGTCTTAACTTGATGCCTCATGCTACACAAGGATAGGAACTAACCCCCATGGCCACCCCCACAAGAAAGAGTGAAAATCCCTGCTCAGAAAAATAAAGTCACTATTTGAGAAGTATTAGCCACATCTGCAAACGATTAACTGGAGGATTTATTACCAATTAGGACTATAAGTCTCTGCTTACTTTGGCTGCTGAAAAGTTGATTTCATGGGGGGTGAAGGATGATTTGAGACAAGGAAGAAGAAATCCAAGCTTAAATAGACACACTTCAAATTCAAAGGAAGCAGGATTTCTCAAGCACCAGGGCAGAAAGCAGGCTTGACCTTGCTGTTCTAAGCAAACCGCCCAGCGGATGCCTGTAGGGTTAGCACAGTCAAAGGGACTGGTATCACTCAGAAGAGGGTGTCAGGGCCCGGGAGGAGGCTGCATCACCCAGTGGTCCCCAATAGCCAGGCCATAATACTGCCAGAGTTGGCGGTAAAACACAAGCATCAGGAGCTCTACATTCTTGATCTCAAAGGTTCTCAGACTTGGCCAACGAATGGAATCACCTGTGGAGCTTTAAAACCCATACCGATGCTTGAGTCACTCTGCAGATCTATTAAATCAGACTCTCTAGGGGTGGTGCTTAGATATCAGAGTGGTTCAAAAACTCCCCAGGTTCCCCTCGGGTGCAGCTGGCGTTGAAAACTACTGCTTAACTGGTATCATTCTCCCACATCAACCCCATGTGATAGGAACAATAACTCTCATGGTTTTACAGAAAAGAAAACTAAGGTACAAGGAGGCTAAATAACTACAGGTAATAGTGGTGGAGGCGGGATTTGAACACACAGCTCATACTCTTACTCATCATGCCCTTATGACCCCCCAAGGCTATGGTTTACAGTTTTCCATATAGAAAAAGGGGGCTCTCAAAATATTTTCATATATTATTTCAAAAAACTCTAATGGAAATGAAACATTAGCCCATATTAATGCTACATATTAACTAGGGAGACGAGTTTCTTCCCTTTGCTTGGAGTGACTCAAAACAAGGAGTCTCACTGGATATTTCATGTTTATTAGGAATTCTCATTCATTCATTCGACAAATATAAAGTGCCAGTTCTCTGCAGAGACTATAAAATGGAATCTCCCTGTGCAGATAATCGATCACCAAACAGCTGTTCTGAGGGCCCCACCAGTGGCATGCACCAGACAGCCTGAGCGGCCACGGAAGGGCGTGGACGGGTCTGTGTGGCAGTAACCTATTGTGTGTGTGTGGTGAGGGAAACGTGGCAAGGGAAATCACAGGATAGTATATGCCTGTTGTTAAGTGGCAAAATAAAAGATGAAGGCGCAGGATAATACAAGGTGAGAATGTTGAGCATACACTGTTGCTGATCCATAAATGTCTAGCCCAAGGTAAAAAAAAATGCAGATTCCTAGCTGGCACCTACACGAATGTAGTGAGCTAGGTATCAACAGGGGAGGTAGGGGCTGGGGTGACCTGGAGAACCCATATCCTGTCTGAGCTAGCTCTTACCTCCAAGCTTAAGTTGCCATGTAGGAATGTGGAGGCAGTGTTGTCAGACTTCCTGACGTTTTTAGGGGAAGCTATAAATGTGGGTTGCTTGATGCAAGATAACCCAGTTTTTAAATGGCCTCTAATTTGTGTCTCTTCCGAACTCGGCCTACAACAAAGAAAATAGATCTACCACCAGCTCTGCTCGCACCACTGAGAGGGCTCTCCCTACTCGCCCCATGAGTCCCAAAGCCACTGCTTATTCACCTGTGCCTTCCCCCCGCTGCAGGTATGCTCATTTATTTTGGATATGGCATCTGGAACAGCACCTTGGAAATCAGCGCCCGAGAAGAGGCCCTGCACCAAAGCACGTACCAGCGCTACGACGTGGATGACCCTTTCTCCGTGGAGGAGGGTTTCTCCTACGCCACGGAGGGTGAGAGCCAGGAGAACTGGGGCGGGCCGGCTGAAGACAAAGGCTTCTATTACCAGCAGATGTCAGATGCGAAGGAAAACACCCGGACAAGTAGCAAAGCGAAGAGCAAAAGCAAACACAAACAGAACTCAGAGGCCCTGATTGCAAATGATGAGTTAGATTACTCTCCAGAGTAGGAGTAAACACACAAGAAATATGTAGAAATGGTGGTGATTTATTTTCAGTAACTTAACCTGTGGGCTAGAAGGTGAAAATGTTTTTTGCCTCTCACTTCAAAAGTCCAGCTTTCCCCAAAGTCAGTCCCCAGTCATAGCCTGTCATTTGCTACTTCTACTCTTCAGGGTAGTTCTGTCAAAGGGTTTAATCTGGGCCTCCTAACTGGTCTCCTTGTGAAAAAGAAAAAGAAAAAACAGAATCTAAACAAGATGGTACAAGAAATTCTATCATAGATGCAACCATCAGAGCAGATGGCAGCAAATGTTTCCTAGGCCTTTGCTTTGCTGGTTGAATCTGTTTGCTTCTGGCTGAGACTCCAAGAAGCAAGGAGAAAACTTGGACGGCGCTGAGGCTGCAGCCCCTGGTGGAGATGTGCCAAAGTAGGTGGGTGTGGGCACAAGGCAGCATTCCCAGCACCTGAGACCACAGGGCAGAGCTCTGTGCTCAGCATGCAGCTGAGAGCTGCTCCCCAGGCTGGGTGGGCAGGTGGCGTTGGCACTTCCTCAGCAAGCAACATTGTGTCCTGAAATCTCACAGAAACAAATCCTGTTTCTTTTTGGAAAAGAAGCATGCTTCTTTTTATTCACCAACATTCTCACTGTCTCCAAACTGTAACTTTGGTCAGGAACCAAAGGTCAGGAACTCTGAGACCATTTCCCCTAAGGTTTCAGATTCACCAGAAAGTAGTCATGCAAACCCAGTCATATGGTGAGAAGCACCATCAAAGTTCTACTAAATGCCCAAGAAAAAATTAAATAACCATCTCTTGAAGTGAAGGCCACAAGGGCACTGGCAGAAATTAACTCTCTGTCAAGCCTTCTCTTACACCAGACTCTAAGCTCCTGCTGATATAATGGAAGGGGGTAAAGTTGGAGCATGATTTCATGGCGCTAATATGCCTTGAAGAAGGAGGCTGTTTGTTTTATAATCAGATAAAATCTTTACAAAGAGAAGTGACCCAGCCACTGAGATCACATTGCAAATTCTATTTGAGATTTCTAAAATTATAAATTCTGTAGTTTTTTTGAGATATGAGATATGCCACCAGTTGATTGGCAGGCGCTGCTCTGAAAACAAAACTGTTGAAGCACAGCTTCTTAGGTAATTGCATTCCATGAGATCACATTTTACTTCTGAACCTTATTCTTCTGGGGTTAGCTCACCTCTAGACATGTATTTTTCCTGCTATTTCCCAGAGCAATTTCACTGAAGCCCAGAGAAATATCTACCTGGTAGGATCTAAATCTGGGCCATCAGAAAGGCTCTTAAAGGAGTTTCTCTGAAACAAGCTAGATCAGACAATCTGCCACAGGATAAAGCTCGCGGTCTGTAAATTCCACTCTCGGGTTACAGGGATTTCAATGCTGCGCTGAGGTATGTACACATGCATATGAAGGCACAAGTTGGATCAAGCTAAAATCTTTGTGAGGATTTCCTGAAAGAGGGGCAAAATAGCGAAGTCCTTATTCTCCCTCTCCTGGTCCTAGCATTACGCCAAAAGTTTTCCAGAATACTTCAACAAATGTTTAAGTCTATTCTTTCTTAAAGGTTGAGGTTAATGCCATCTTGGCATGCAGTAAGGTTATGCGCAGGGAGCAGAAGCCCATTTTTTTTCACTCAGCTCACCCTGATTGAGAATATACCAAGTGCTAAGTGATGGGAATGCAAAGAGAATGACATCTGCCCTTGGAGGCTCGCAGTCCAGGGAACATGAGCAGCACCGGAGTCTGATAACTGTAGATAAAACAGCCGAACATGACAAGTTCCCATGGTTGATGCACTGGGCTTCAACATAGTGTTTTTTCAAAGGTCAACTGAAACTACATTTTAATGTGCTTTTAAGTTGCGTATCATACCCATAGCCAACGTATGTCATTTAAATTTAAATAACCACTGTTTTCTAGATCTGCTTTTTCATCCTTCTATATTAATTGTTTATAACTCTGGTTTCCTGAGGTCACTTGTCATTTCAGTGTAATGCTTGGCAATGTTGTATTTTCCCTCCCCTAAACTTAACCATAAAGATACAATAGCTGGCCTGTGGAATGTACCCTAGGGGATTAATTGTAAACCAATTATCTGCCTTTTTTGAAGTTTTGAACCGGTTTTAGAACTCAACAGATCTGCCTAGATTAAATATAATCTGTGAAGCGTGAGATATATCTAGAGAGATAGGGCAGGGCTGTATTTATTTGTTCAAGACGTTCAGAGGGAAATATTAACGCAGAATAACAAAATCTTACTGTGGGTGAAGGAGCTTCGTTTGACGAGAGAGGTTGAGGCACTGAAGTCTGGCGGCAGCTGTATGCGGTCTCTGGAGCGCGCAGAGGGCAAAGGCTTGGTCAATCCCGCGGGTGCGGCCTCCGTGAAGGGCCGGGAGCCCCTCTGGTCTCAGGAGGCACTCCTCCCACACAGGAGCACTATAGTTTTTTAAGCTTTGATCTCTTTATTTCTCTAAAATTGATTAGTCATCGTTCTAGTAAAGTTGTTTTTTTTAATTAGTATGATAGAAAAAGGGGTTTTTTAAGGTACATAGACATACTTTTCCTCATGTTTCCCAGCCTTTGGGAAACAGTCCCAGATTTCACAATGCAATTTTCAAATATCATCAATCACTAGAATGATTTTATTAGTGTTTCCTAACAATTTTCCTAAGACCACATTTGTGAACCCACAGGAAAAGATCACCTTGTAAATAATTACCACAGAAACTAAGCCCCCTTGGAAGGAGTCCAAGGAAGACATACGTTTCCTTAAATTCTTATCTATAGCAAGAGCTCTTCCAGTGAGGTTACATCATGTGGATTTGCAGTTTGGCGCCAATTATTTGATTTTTTTTCCACTGTTGTCAATTTATTGGTACTCTGTTTCATTTCAAAAGGATGTGAGGTAGCTAGTACGATACATGTAATACCCAGAATAATTAAGTGAGGAGCTGATAGAAAGCTAATAATTAAGTGAGGAGGCAAATAGAAAGGATAAGACAAAGCTAGAAATGTGTTAAGTGCTCAAATGCAGAACCTTGATAGGCAATGCTAATTGCCAATGAGGGGCCACTTGAAAAACAATGAAATTGTTGGTAATGACAGGAAGAAAACTCCTGATATGAATAAATCTTCCCTCATAAGGGCAGGGAATTGCAATAGCATAGATCATTGAAACCCACAGATAAGCTTCAGACCTGGATTTTACCAGGTACATGTGCCTGGCATAGTTGGATGTTCCATAAATATCTGATGATTGAGTGAATGGCTAGGTGGATAGCATAGATGAATGAAAGGAAAATGAAATACATTTATTTAACACATTTTCATGGAGTGCTTATTATGTGCTATGGCATAAGAAATAGAATATGGAATATATAAATAAGGAACAATAGTGAAGATGACAGGTGAGATGATGGAGTTAAAATGTACAGTAGGGGTTCAAATATGAAAAAGACCTCCTTCCATTGGAAAGATCATAGAGAATGCAGCCCTTGTGTTGGGGCTTGTGGAAAGGGCAGAATTTTTCCCAGTAGAAATGGAAGAAAGGCCTGCAGAGTGGAAGATCGGCATGAGTAAGGCATAGACTCTGGCTGATGGCTGTCTCCTAACTCGTGAGTTGTACTGTGCCTCCTTCAAGGGAAAGCAAGAAGCTAGTTTGGCAAGCGTTTATGATTTATGCATGATTTGTGTATGGAACAGTAAGAAATCATGCTGATGAGGCAGGTTAGGGCTCACCCATAGATAGACGTGAAAGTAGAACTGAGCTGGCTGGCTCTCCTTGGGTGGGGAGGCACTGGGGAAATGATGAAAGTATGAATCAGGGAGATTTAGACTTTAAGAAGCTGGGGCAGTGACTTCCTCTGCCTATGCAAGGAGCTAACAAATCACATACACACTCCAAGTTGATTCAACATATTAAAAGGAAAAAAATCCATATTTAAAGCATTAACCTAGAAGTGTAGGCATTTAACATGTAGACAGATAACACAAAGTTATTTGCAGCCACTTTAAAACTCTCAACAATAAGTTTAAACAACCAAACCTAACAAGTTTTCATTTCTATCTCATCTACACAGTAAAACCTCAGCTCAAGATTTTACTCAGCTTGAGCACAAGGAGTTTGAGAATCAGCCTAAAAACCTAAAGGGTATTGCTGTCACCTTTCCCACCAGGTCTTACCAGGGTCCAGAGGTGTCAGTGGAAGCCCACAGAAGGTCAAGCACAGATTGACCTATTTTATATCTCGGCTTAGAATGTCTCGTTGGGTAGAGGAGTCAGATATCAGGAAATGGGTTTGAAGCCAGAGCTGGGGTAAAGTCCAGGCAGCAATTAATAGTCCACTCTTGAATTTAAGCCTTCAGGTTAGTGAGCAATCCTGAGATGGCCTTTATTTCTCATGCGGGCAGAGACGGAGGCGCAAAGGAAACTCACGCTCTAAAGTTGGTCCCTAGAGCTGCCTGACAGCACTCCATCTTCGTGCCCTTTGGAAGAAGACGAGTCAAAGAGGGTGTTTCTATTAAAAATGTTTACTAAGCCTAGGTTTTCTCTCATGCGCAAGTACTTCCCTGATGCTGAGGACCTGGTTGTCTATTGGGGCCCTTTAAGTCCCCAAAAAAGAAAGGTCCCAGCCAGTAAGCCGTGATGGCCCGGCTGGGAAAGAGCCGATATTTGTAATTAAACAACGCGCAAGCGCAGAAGCAGCATCTCAAACGGCACGCCCCACCGCAAGCAGAAACCAGGATGCTATTTCACCACGGAGTTTACTTCCTATTTTTCAGTTGGAATGATGATGGGTAGCAAAAAAAAAAACCCTTTTGTGTACATAATTCTTAGTCTGTGTCTACTTGTTTTTCTCTAAGACTTTACAGGAGAGGCTATTGTGATTGTTTTTCCGCCTCAGGAGCAACTTCCTGTCTAAAATGCTTTCCTCTTCTCGTTCAGCTTGCATCATCCTGAAATACATAAGCTGTCGCCTTTTGCAAAAATTATCCAAGAAAAAAAAATTTTTTTTTTCTTTAGGACTTAAAGGCGAAAAGGGATTAGTGGAAGTTTTGAAGCCTATCAAAAATGAACCTATATTATGCAGTATCAACTAAAATAGTGTTAGAAATCATTCAACAGTATTCTGCATGCGTGGAATCACAAAACTCACATAGGGCTCTCACAAAGACAGCTTTGGATTGGAAGTCTTCTGAACGCAGGTAGCTCTAATTTCTTACTCTTTAAGAACATTCAATGCATTTTCGTACAAAAAGAAAAGAAAATGACTTTGTATTTGAACTAGGAAATGGGGGCCACATAGATTTTTCATTTGGGACTCCTCTATGCTTTTCTTTTCCCTTTGCTACTACACCTTCCTAAAACTGAATTAGTGACATTGGCTAAAAGGAATTGTGGGTTATGTAAATTTCTCAGAAGTGCAGACTATAAAGGACTGTTCATTCAGATATTAGGATGAGGAGGCCGCTCCTGCACATTCCTCCTGATTGGTCTTGGCGGTTGTCACACACTTGTCTCACACTCCCGAAGGCAAGAATGATAATCCCCCACTTTCCAAAGCAAAGACACTGTTAATGCTATGATGGCACATAAATACCTCAACTGTCTGAGCTAATTGACGGGGCTGCAGGTTTTTAGGAGAGCAGGTATTGTTCTCATCCCATGTAGTTACACCATCCAATGACAGGACTCGCCATTCTAGCTTTTTCTCACTGTGGAAAAGAAAGATTACTGTTTAATTTACATCCAAAGTTGTAAGTACAGCTTGTAAATTTTACTAACTTGTTTCATTTTTGTTTGGTCCTTGAGAAGTACAACTCGCTTTTTGCAGCTGGTAATTTCTGGTGTTGTTCTCTGATACGTGTGTGTGTGTGTGTGTGTATATATATATGTATATATATATTGGTATGAAACTGCTGTATTTGTTAAAGTTTGTTTGTGGTTTTTAATTCCCATTGGTGCACTGTACAATGGGGTGTTGTAGTGTATCATGAAGAAAGAAATAATATGCAGATATGTTATGGAGTATGTTTTATTTTGAAATTGATTGTGGTATTGACAATATATTGATTTATCAAGATACTAAGGGAAAATTCTAAATTTACCAAAATGTGTATATTTTAATAAATGCATAAAGCTTTATTGTGTGCCTTTAAGTTTAAAAGGGGTTTATAAAAAAGTCAGAAACAAAAGTGTCTTACTATAAAATATTCATAGTATTGTAAAGCTTTTACACAGGAGACTATCAAAAGAAAAAATGAAAAGAAAAAGAAGCTCTCCCATATTTTGTTAACCTTAACCAGTACCTGATGTCTGGTACATTCTTTCCATTCTAAAATGGATGAATAAATGAATCTTGCCTTAAATGTTTCAATTGTCCATTGTAGAAAAGCCAGATAAATGAGCTCACTTTTTTTGTTTGAAACTAATCGCATTATTATGGAAAATTTGTTTTCAGAATAAAAATATTTTAAAAAGTACAGCTAACCGACTATTAAAATTTAAATTTGAAGGAAATCAGTGCCATCCTACAATTTTAAATTCACTTTACTTCAGTAAACTCAGGAGAACATGAACGGACTCAGTCTCCCTCTCACCATTTCCTTCAAACAAGGTGCAGGGCTCTACCCAGAACCCAGCCCGCCACGCTGCCTCCCGGGCTACCCTGCTCCTGGCGCCAGCTCCCAGAGAGGGCCACACACCCCCTCCCAGCCTCAGCACCGCGGAGCATTCACTTCCATTGCCCGCATTCATTTTCAGGACAAATTGGAGGAATGTTACCTGCCTACAATCCCAAACCCAATGGTAATAGCATTAATGGTGGTTTAATTTATTGTACTTTTTGATAGTACAGGTAATGGTGACACCTGGAGAAACGGAGAGTGGGGTAGCAGGATCACATATTTGCTACACTACTTGAGATGCAAAGAACTGCCGTGTCTTTATTTCCTACCACTCATGACCTCCCTTGCAGAAGTTCACCTGCCCGGATAGCACTGGAGAAAAACAAGCTTTAATGTATTAATTTACAGAATCTCAGTTGTCT